TTTGCATATGAAAAGTACGTAGATCTACGTACTTTTTTCTGAGTGAAATGAAGAAGCTAGGCGAAACCGAATAAAACGAGTATTTTGTTATACAATTTCTTTGAAAACGGGAGATAGAACAAAGAGTTCTTGGAGAAGTCGCAGCATTGGAAGCATTTACCATGCCGTGGTAGACATTTTGACACAGACATTGGTGGGTGTCGATTCTGGCATGATTCTCTATATTTAAAACTAAATTTAACATCAGTCTCTCCTTTCCATTCTGTATAGAGAATGACAAGGATAAACTGTTGTTAAATAGACTAGTTGACACTTTTTGGAATTATGTTTAAAATTGTTAATAATTGTTTTATCACACCGAAAAAAATGTATTTTTTTTTACCCAGAAGACATACAAAAACGCTATTTAGTCTATAGACTTATCTATGCTATGACGTCAAGACATTTGTAAACAAACACTCGCAAGCACGTAGGTAAAAAAACTTTCTGAGTTAATATTATAAAACCATGATTTCTAATAGATCACATGAAAATATAGTAGTTATCATGATACACTTGGTAAAAGACTAGAAAAGTTGTGGTTTAAATTGTGTGCCAAGAGAAATAAACATACTTACACATGAACACATGTTTAAAACTTGCTAAATCCTGTAACTTTATCGACTGAGAGTCATTTCATTTTGCAAAGATCAATTCAATGTAAGTACTCATTAAATAATATTTAAAGTTTAAAAATACAATTTTTAAGGTTATGACTGTACCTTAGTAGGTACTAAGTCAAAGAGTTTTGTTGTTTCTGCTTTCACAAATCCTGCGTCCAGCATTAATTTAGTCAACAAAACCAATAACGTGAACCTTTTCTACAAGAAACAAGAGTTTTTAGATATATCTTTATAAGAAATAAACATTTGTATAATTTTTAAGTAAAGTAACGGAAAATATTCTGCTTTATTCTAGTGAATTAAGTTATTTTACAAATTTGAAACAATTAAAGAAAATACGTAGATTCTGGGACTGAAGTTAGTAGGTTTGCAGAAAAGGCCTAAAATACGTAGATCTACGTAAAAAGACGTAAAGTTGGCAACACTGGGTATAGGTATCTTAGGTGCCAACTGCCAACACTGGTGTCGATTCTGGCGTGATTCTCTAAACTTAAAACTAAATTTAACATCAGTCTCTCTTTTTCATTCTGTATAGAGAATGACAAGGAAACACTGTTGTCAAATTTAAGTTTAGATTTAGAGAATCGTGCTAGAATCGACACCAATATCAATATGAATATAAGCATTTATTATTTTTATTATTAATTGCATTTTATGTTCATTTAATGCATATTTTAGAATTGCTTACATAGAGGTGAACACTAAATCTATTCAGAATATATAAAGTGTACATCTTTTACGATTAAGCATAAAATTATAACCTCCAAATCTAATACATTCTGTAGTAGGCCACGGTTCCTCAAGTTGTCCGTATCTCAACAAATGCCTAATTAGAGTTTATGAATGATTCCGAACACAACTAGCATTTTCTCATTACTGTGCATTCTAGGGCATTTAATGTATGGGGAACGAGCAATGTCCTTTGTCATGAATTTTTCACGACTAAATTGCTAAACTGGCTTTATAAATTTCTTACGGACTTCAGGAATTATCTCTGGAGTACCCAATTTTCTATCTTGACGATGTACATAGTAATAATACAGGGAGAAAAAAGCAGCACTTGTTGAGTTTTTTGCCGTTACCTCTAAGTATAAGGTCTCCCGGGCCGATGCGACGATGACGTAGCTTCTCGGCTTTCACAGGTGTTTGTAATAGCCTAGACTGCATGGGTAGATAGGTACTTTTGGTAGGTATGGAGACCGAGATGGAGACAAATTGGACCCTTGAATAATATAACTAAATGGAATGACTGATTTTATGGAATGTTAGTTAAGGCCACCATGTTGTTATCATGAATCCCCTTTATTAAAAAAACAGCCCATGAGCAGCAAACACACATTTAGTCATGTTTAGTGTATCGTGAAGGCCAGTCTTCTTATGCCAATTAATGCTATTAGTACCTATCAATGTATGCTGCAGAATTAATTCCATGAAACGTATTTTTTGTGAGAATATATATAAGATACTACCTGTCCCCGCGAACTTCGTACCGCCATAAAAAATAGGGGTTGGTGGTAGAAGGGTGAAAATTTAGGGTTGTATGTATTTTTGTGTGATGTACCTATCATAAAAAAAAACCAAAATATTTTGTCCAAAAAAAATTTCAAGGTGGAGCACCCTTAACATTTAGGGGGATAAAAACTAGATGTTGTCCGATTCTCAGACCTACTGAATATGCATATAAAATTTCACGAAAATCGGTCGAGCCGTTTCGGAGTAGTTCAATTACGCACACCGTGACACGCGAATTTTATATATTAGATTTAAAAACTAAATTAATCAATTATTTTCAGATAATTTGGACGTTCTGGTGCATTTACTTTATACAATTAAGTGAGAAAAAATTCATAAACAACAAAAAAACATTAAGTGATATTGAAATATGTTTTATTCCTACGGTTTGAATTTAAATATAATAACTTCTAAGACTCACTCCGATAACGGAGACAACATCATTTTTGTAATTAATCAACGGGATTCCTTATGTATCCCAATCCCAAGTCATACTTTTTCCAACCGGTAGCACGAAATACATATAAGTACAAGTCCAATACCAAGAAAATCGAATACTACCCGTATTCGATTTTCTCCATATTTCACAATTTCATCCCGATTGACTGATTAAGTCGTCGATACATTGCGCAAACTTAAAAACACATTCTCGTAGTTTGGGATTGGGTAAATAATTAGTCTCGTAACTAAGTACCTACCTAAAAACAATGAACTCTGTATTTGAGCGACTTTTTCCAGGATAAAAAGTATATAATGTCTCAATCCAGGTCATAAACTCATCCAAATCCGGTCAGTAATTTTTTAGTGATTGATGAACAAACATACAAACTCTCACATTTTTAATATTATTAGAGGAAGTAAAAGCTCTTACTCTATTAAAATCAGAAACAACGAAAGCGCCACTAAGCCAAATGTTTCTATATCAACCCGGCTGCTGGAAATCGAACTAGAATTCCTAGTTTCATTCCTAGATTCAGGAATCACACCCAACCATGAGTCGTTGTCATTACATTACGGTGCTATGCTTCGATAGGGATGCCAGATGTCCGGTATTTAAGCGTACAGTTCGGTATTTTGGAGGCCTGTCCGGTTAAAAATAAATGGTCATACCGGACAGAACAGTGACTAGTATTTTGAGGAAAGTTGGTACTACTGTAATACTGGTCACAAGCGCCTACAAAAGTAGGCATATGAAATCCCTCCAAACGAAAAACTCACACAATTTAGAAAAGCACAGGAAGGCATTGTATCTAAATTATTGTCGTTGAACGTATGTGCCGCTACTAGCTGTCTCAAATACAGACTGAAACGAAGTGAGCGACGGCGCTCACTTTGCAAGCTTCAAAACGGCTGTTCGCTAGGGCCCGTCCTATGTAAAATCCATACTAATCCATTATAATGTTCTAAATGCGATAAAGGGGCTGTCTGTTACATCTTAACGCTTAAACGGCTGAACCGATTAAGATGAAATTTAGTATAGAGACAAGTAGTTAAGTCCCGAGAAAGGACATAGTTGTTATTCCGGAAATCATCCTTTAAGGGGGTGAAAAGTAGGGTGGAAGTTTGTTTGGGAAACCAACTTTACCACGCAGACGAAGTCGCTGGCACCCACTAGTTTCCTATAGTTACCAGCCAGACACGCAGCTCTCCATATAAGATCTCCTTATTATACTTTGTGTGATATAATTTTGGTGTTTAGAGCTACGATTTTAAATACCCTAGATATACCAACACGAACAAAATCATGCCCGAAACCTGTCCAAAAGGTACATTGGACGATCCACGGAGCTCCGTAAGATGATCGCGTAGTCTAAACAATATAAGGCATTATTTAATGCTATTAGTGCATTGAAAATCACCTTTAAAGCACACACCATAAGGTCTTCATTAAAACGCATGCGTCAAAGAGTTATAACAGTCCGAGATGTAAGCTCGTAGACTTATTGCTATATGCGTAAGAATATAGACCTTATTTCTTTGACTCTACGCGCAATTCTGAATGCGCTGTTAGCAATATAGAAGGTACGGACCGCGAGGAAAAGAGACGGCTATATTACCGACTATGCATTTGAATACCACAAATATTTTCTAGTAAATTAGTTTATATAGTAAGTATTAAAACAATTTGCTGCAAATGCGTTAAATTAACAAACATTGATTAGATACCTGTCGAAAAAACGACATTTTAGATACTATAAGTATTCATTTCGCATTTTTTCACGGAGCTCGGCGGCATATTGACTTTTCAACGGTCCACTATGAACCAAGAAGTTCTTGAGTGGTGTTCAAGCACTTCTTGATAGGGACACATATGGAGTGGACGTGGTGTATTTAGCTAGGGTATTTAATATCGTTGGTTTAGAGTAGTATTTTACTGATACTAAAAATAATATTGCAGAGAAAGGAGAGATGGACTGATAAATATGTTTATTTGGGAACAGCTAGAAATTTTGAAGATTCCATTCGGCCTCAACCTATTCTAGGGCTAGGACAAATAAACAGTAATGATCTATTTTATTTAAAAGCAAAATACTTTGGATGTTGGGATCAGTCTACACATTGGGTCCAATGTGGTAATAGTTCATCTGCTAGTGATTAATACTTTTTCTAGTTGGGCTATCTCTCACATGCCCATCTGTAGCATATTTTTTATTTGTCGAACCATTAAAATGTTTTTTTTTACTCTGTACATGCCAGAATCATTTGAATGGGATCTAGTGACCGTCATATTTACGTGCACACGATAGATTATATTTTATACCTATTACCTACTATGGATGAGTGCATCACGTAAGCGGATTAAATAGTACCTATACAAATTTTCAATTGTTCAAGAAGTTTGCTGCTACCTATACCCATTGTTGCATGCATAGGATAGAATCAAGTGAAAATAATTGTTTATTTTTGCTTATTTTTTTTACTTATTCTTATTACTTATAGCCTCATTAATTAAATTGTTTAGATAATCCGCCTTTGCTTCACTTGAGTCCAACATATTGTATTTTGATGAAAATACCTGAAATCAATAAAAATATTGCTTGAGTTATCAGATTTGGATTTTTTATTCAGTACCTAAGCATTTTTCAATATCTACATCTCTTAAATAATTTATGTTATAAATTGCAAGATGCAAATAAATAAAATATAATATAATTAATAGCACATAGATGAACTCAATGGTGCAAGTGACCGCGTTCGGCTGCGATTGTTAAAGTTAAGCAACTGGTTGGTCATTGAATGGATGGCCAAAAATTTACTATCTCGAGCTCATCCGTGCTTCGGAAGGCACGTTAAAACGTTTGTCCCGACTGCATCTGCAGTCGTTAGCACCCACCAATCCGCATTGGGCCCGCGTGGTGTGTCATAGCCCATCTCCCTATTCCAGCCATATGGAAGTCCTACGTTTATTCAGTTTAGGCTGTTACAAGCACTTGTGAATGTCGAAAAGCTACGCCATTGGTTCGCAAATCTACGGCGGGATAGTCTAAGTAGGGAGATGGACTTTCACCAATCTGATAACTCGAAGCACATTTTTTATCAAATATAATTTATAAACAAATATGCCTATGATGACTTGCAAAAGTGTGTAAATAGCTATTTTTAACTTAATTAGTTTTAATAAGTTTTCTGTCATCACCTTCACTCTTTTGATAGGTAACCGAATAAGTTTTATCTCAACTGATAGTTTTTAACACACAGAATATGCCTTGCATTGCACACAGACTTGCCTACATACCTGGCAAGCAGATGTGAATAGGTAAGTCAATATAGGTAACCACCGATCTGTTAACCAATCGAAATTTATATCATAGGTAAGATATTTTAATTACAAAACCAATGATATAGGCTTGCTTGCAAAAAATCGTTCACAAATAACTATAAAGTTTTAGCATTTTAGCTATTCCGATAGGTGCGAGAGAGACAGTGGAGCCTCCGAGGTCTGTGTGATGGAACAGGACACAGGATAGCAAGTTCAACAAACAAAAATTATTGCGATTTTTTTTTGCGATTGCCCTCGATTGCGTAATTGCACGGAATTGGCCAAAAATTAGGAATATACTAGTTATGACTACACAGCGGCATTTTATCAGAAAGGTAAAGGTCGGCCATTAAAAATTGATTAAATTAAAAATAGCTATGAACACTTTTCGATAGGCAAGTCATCATAGGCATATTTGTTTATAAATTATATTTCATAAAAAATGTGTCTCATTGAGTTATCAGATCAGTGAAGTACCAGTGTACATTATTATAACAAACAATAAACACAACTGTAGGACAGATACATGGTGATTACCTAAACACTAGTGTCGATTCTGGCACTACTCTCCAAACCCAAAACCAAACCGTAACACCAGTCCCCCCTTTTCGTTGTATAGAGAATGATAAGGATACACCACTACAACACCAAAGTTCAAGTCTAGAAAACCATGCCAGAATCCACACCGCCATTAAATCTTCATCAGAGAAATAATAAATAATATTATCATTAGATAATAGCACATCAGAGGGGCCGCATCCATCACCAACATTTTGGATGATTTCATGATGCTTACACCATACCTATATTTTTGGGTGGGTCTCACTATTAATGTCGCGTTTTATACAAGTCTTATCTAAGACAACCCTTCTTTACATTATAAATGTTATGGATCTTACCAAATTAGCAGAAAAGCCCAGGGCTTTGACTTCCTTCACTTTGGTTGTAGTAGGACCAGTTGGTACATTAGAGTTATGGATTATAGCATTTTTGCCAGCCATTATAAGAACAACCCAGCTATTGTGGTCTGGAGGTTTTTGCATTAAACCAAATGGAGTATTATGAAATAGCTCCTTAACTTTAACTGGCAACCCATTACTATCATTACAAATAATTATATCTGGAACAAAAATTATTTCTATTTCATTTTGTTACCTTTCTCAAATTAGGTAATTGTTAATAATCCATTAATTATATTATTAGCATCTAGGAGTTTACAACTAACTCAACTCAACACGATGTGCTACATAAAATATTGTCTTACTACAAAATGTTTGACATGGATTCAAAGTAAATAGTTGGCAAAGGACAATGGGCAAAACACACCCAGCTCCGCCAACGATGTAATTAGTATGAATCGATAGATCTACGAAAAACTAGCCTTTTTTATTATGACACCGAAGAAAAATATCCCAGTAGTCAAAAGATATGCCACCGTAAATAAATATCCTGATAGTCAAAAGATATGACACATGGGCATATTTAAGTAGCTAATTAAATTCATTTTACAGTACCTTCATTTTATATTATTAGTAACCATAATAATATGCCATATATTTACTATAACAAAAAAAATGTTTGACATAACCCTGACTCATGCAGGGATTTTTGGATTTATTCTAGCGCAGCAGAATAACATAAGGCCCCCTATGTAGAGTCGTACTATCTAACTAAATTAATTCCCTTTGTTTCATTAATGTTCATTCGTTATAGTACTTGTACCTATTTAACTTAAAATAACTAAAGACCTCCGGAATGGAATTTCATGCCCTTTGGCACAGACGTACATGACTATAATACCTTTCAAATAAATGTAGTTTAAGCCATGGCGGACGTGGGTGCAGCGTCCATACATTTTTGCCCATTGTCCTTTTGTGTAATGTTTTCTTAAACTTGTGTTTTTCTTAAACTAACTAACTTTTTAGCTGTTCAACTTTTTTGTGGTAATAAGGTTTAGGTTTACCTCCTCTTTGGTGATGTGTCAGTATATGTCCTGCAACAACATATTCCTCACCACCTCTACACTGCTTAAGTGCACTCATGACATCTAACATTATTCTTTCGCTCATATTAAATTGTTTTTTTGGATTTTCAGAAGGCACATAATCTGTATACTTTCTGGCAAGGATTGTTGCTTGTTTATCACTGAGGAGACTCATTTTAGATTCGGAACAGAATAATTTAGCTGTGTTATGAATTACTAAAACTTCCCGTCCATAGGTCATTGGTTGTTTACCATAAGTATTTAGCAAAAAGTCTGGGCTGAGGACCTTATTCATTAAATCTACAGGATAAATTCCTAAATAACCTAGAAATGATATACAACACGCAAATGATCTCCCATGTTTTTCAATTTCAGGTATCCGTTCAGGTTTCCTCAGTTCTTCCAATATGATTTCAAAGAAATTTTCTTTAATGTTAGGGACCAAATTAAATGTACCAAATGTGAGTACTAATCTCTCTAAATCTTTAATTCGTGTTTTAGTAATTGATCTCACAGTTGATTCTGCTATACTTTCTAAGCATTGTCTATGTAATGTTAAAGTTGCCATACCAACCAAGACCAGATGAACATTACACATAACAGACAATCTAGGGATTTCATATTGTAATTTGTCCAACATTTTGTATATTATATTATCATTACTCACTTTCAAAGAGTAACGAATAACTTTTAGTAAAGAAGCCAAAGAAACTTCATGAATGTCTTTAGAATTCTCAATAACTTTATAAATAATTTTTGTGGTTAAATCAGTATTTCGGATTGGTGTTTTACTCTTGAAGAAACCCATTGCCATTATTGCTAATTCATCTACTGTGAATTCTGGAAACAGCTGTTCTAAATGTAGTTCCAAATTATGCATGTCAAATGGTGCTTTACGCATTATCCCAATATAAAACATTGTTTGTACTAACTGACAAGGAGACAGTTGTTTTGACTTTGAAGTCAACTTTTGTAAGGCTTTTAGTGAAAAATCACTAGCTTTAGTAACATTCAACATGTAAAATAAACCCAAAAATTGTAACATTTCATCCAATGTCCATCTTTTTAACCTATTTAGGCATTCATCATCTAATGCAACCCAAACTTCTATGTAATTACGGGTACGGACAGAGGCAGTTTCTGGCCACTTCAGTAAAGAATAAAATAATGTTTTCAATTCCTCATCTGTTGCAAATGATATGTTATCTGTTAAGTTATCAATGAATGAATCAAAAATTTCATTAGAAATACACATTGCATTTTTAGAACTGTATATTCCCAAAAGCGAAAATGCATGATATATTTCTGAAGGTGATTTATTATTCCAGTTGTCATTTAGAATCTTATTAAAGTTTTCTGATGATAGAGATGCGTCCATAATTTCTTCAAGATTTATTTTGGTCACATAGCCCTTATTTTCCATAATATTATAAGCATGTTGGTTTTCATATTCCATATACATTTTAATTCTTGTTATTGAACTGCAGTAAAAATATCTGTATCCACTCAATATTGTGTGATTACGACTTTTATATGGCAGACTATATATCGTCCGCAATAGTTTCAAACAAGTGAACATGGTAAATTAATTTTAATGTCTGGTAAAGAATTTACAAGTTTTTAAGTTCACTTTAACTGAGATCTCTGTTCACTTTTTCTTTTTTACAAAGAAACCCAATGATGACCACATTCACAGATTATTTTTAAATTGCTATAAAATAAAATATTAACTTCGTTAGACATTTTTCAAAATTAAATACAGTACCCCCAGCACGACACGAACTACAAGTCCATCAAATATCAAATCTTCTTCTCCTTCTTTTTCTTTTTTTATGGCATGCACGGTTTGTGCGTTCAGCCAATGTCAAGTAAAAAAGTCTATTCTATTCTATTTTTTGTAAAGGCTCTGCCAATGTCAGGGTTGAGTACTACAGATGATCAGATTTTTTGAAGTTATACTTCTTTAGGCGCGTTATGAAAAAATTATGAGAGTGAAATTTTAAGATGCGCGCGCATCACTGTAACACAAAAGTAACATAATGAAGTTAGCCGCGGGCGCGTTATGAAAAAATGATGAGAGTGAAATTTTAAGATGCGCGCGCAACACTGTAACAGAAAAGTAACACCATGAAGTCGGCCGCTAAACCGCACGTTACTCGTAAGTCTCGAAAAAAAGCTTACAACAAAATAGTCATAGGATCTCTTAGTCGCACATGTTGGGACGCTCGTCGCCTCTGATCACTGTTTTCATATTTATAATATTTATCCACATGTTTCTAGATTCTATATTCTTAACACGTGTTATAATGTTATACAAATGCGAAATTTATAAGTGCTAATAAATTTTATTCAATATTTTGATTATTTATTAAATTTTTCAAATTAAAACTGAACTTTATTGACTGCGTTGACTATCCTTTTCCAATCCTTTTATTATCTTATTGTAATTAATATCTGCATGCAATTAAAAACTATTTTTTAATAATTCCAAAAAGAAGTATAACTTCTCACGCGCGTACTTAAGTACACACACCTATATTTTTTTTGCAGTTTTACGCATCGTCCACTATTGGCCGGTTGAGTGACCTAAAAGGATAATATAAAAAGGTTATAGACGACACAATGACAAACACAACAGTTACAGATAAAAGCGTTAGTAATAAATGGGATTTTAAAAGTTACAATTTAATTTTATTGGTGTGTATATACTTGGCAAGGACTTGGATGAAGGGAGAGTCCACCATGGTTAGTAAGTGGTTTACATTCACAGGGCGGGCGATATTTTTAGGCAGTATATCATAAAGAGAGATGGTATTTTTTAGGCAATTGAAAAATATGTGATCGACGTTTCCTTCGTCAAGACCACATTCGCATAACGAATGGTCCCTAACCCTAATTTTCTTTAAGAAGACGGGGGAGCATATGTGACCAAGACGTAAGCGAATAATGGTAGAAGTGGAGATTTTATCCAAGAAGCGGTATTTAAAAAACCACGGCTTAGAGGGAAGAAAAAGCTGCAGACTTCTATAATGTTTCCCTTTGAACTGTGAGGAGTCGTCCCAGTGTGCTGACCATTCGCGATATGATTCGGTTTTAGCTTTGCTTCTTAGATCTTGGGCAAAGCATTTATCATAGGTTGGGCAACCCATCGTTACAGCCTCTTTTGCAAGGCTGTCTGCCTTTTCGTTACCTTTAATGCCAGAATGACCAGGGAGCCATGAGAGGGCCACATTTATATTTTGAGAACGGCAGTTAAACAGAAGTTCTCGGATTTTTAGAGTTATATAAAAATTTTGCCTGGCACGTAAAGGGAATTTTAAAATATCATCCAAAACACTTCGGGAGTCTGTGAAAACTATTGATTTGTTAAGTTTTTCAGAATGGCCTTCAATATATTTAATAGCTTCATATATAGCAATGGCTTCTCCCGAAAAGGAGGACATTTCTGGGCGGCATTTAAAGCTTAAAATTATTTGAAAGCGAGGGATCCAAACAGCAGCACCTACAGCTTCTCCATTGGTGGTTTTAGAGGCGTCGGTAAAAATCTGGGTCCAGTCAGTCCATTCTTCTGCGATAGTTTTGTTAAAAAATCTGTCGGCGCCAGGTTCGTTTTTGTTGATATTAAAAAAGGTCAAAATGTTTGGTTCGCATATTAGTGTCTCATAATTTACATTAAATGTTGGGTTTCCGGGAAATTGTGCCATAGGGGGACCATTGACCAATTTTTCGTAACTGTTAGCTAAGCGGGGCGTGGTTTTATGTATCCAGTATTTAGAATTAGTAATGAGATTGGAAAGCTGACAAAGTCGAGAAAGCAGTGGGTGGTTAAGGTTTTCAGCAATTTTAAACAGGTATCGATCTGACAATAATTGTCTACGGATATTAAGAGGAGGCTCCCCAGCTTCTACCTGTAGGGCATTTGTCGGAGAAGATCTCATTGCACCTGCGATTATGCGGAGACACCTAGACTGTATTTTGTTCAAGGAAGAAAGGGAAGTCTTATTGCAGGGTTCGAGTAAGAAAGTACCGTAATCGAAATAGCTTCGAACTATTGCGTTGTACAGAAGTTTTTGGCAGTATGGATGAGAACCCCACCAGACACCTGAGAGGGCTCTGAGGACATTAATGCTTTTCTCACATTTATTATTGATATAATTGAGGTGAGAGGCACCAAACAAACGAGAATCTAATATAAGGCCTAAAAATTTTTTTTGGTCTGTGCATGGCAATTCTTCCTCGCCTAAGACAATAGGGGCGTAGGGAATTGTTCTTTTTTCGAGAAAAAACTAGTACTGTACTTTTGGATGGGGCTAAGGATAAACCATGTTCAGTTAACCACTCATTGAGATACCTAAGAGCTGTATTTAGTTGAATAGAGCAGTCTTGAACAGAGTCTGATGAGGAATATAGAGCTATATCATCGGCATATTGCACGATGTCACAAAAGCTCTCAACACATTTTTCAAGGTCTGCTGTATAGAAGTTATAGAGGGTTGGGCTTAGTACTGATCCTTGAGGGAGCCCTCTCCAAACTATTCTAGGTGGAAGAAGACAACCCTGAAGGCGAACTGAGATGAAGCGTGCAGAAAGCATGTTAAATATGACATTGATCATCCTCACGGGAAGACTCAGCTGATGCATTTTCTGCCTGAGTAGCGGAAGAAGTACAGAGTCATAGGCTGATGTGACATCAAGAAATACACCGACCATATCTTGCTTTCTAGAGAAGGCGAGGCGAGCATCCGAAATGAATATACTAAGATTGTCCATGGTACCCATGCCCTTCCGGAATCTGTACTGTGTGTGTATTCGAGTCTATTTTTAATGAGTAGCTCCATGATTTTAACTAGCACCGAGGATAGGGCAATAGGTCTATAAGAAAGCGGATCGTTAGGATTTTTATTTGGTTTTAAAATTGGGATAATTATTTGGTGCTTCCAGGAGTCAGAAATTAAGCCTGAATCATAAATTTTGTTAAGGAGCGCCAGAAAAAATACTTTAGAGTTATCGGACATTTTTTTAATAAATGAGTAGGGTATACCGTCTACCCCTGGCGAGGAGTCACGTAAATGAGTGAGAACTGAAGACAATTCATTAATGGAGAAAGGGTCATCGATATGATTGTGCAAAGATATTGAGTGAGATAGGGGGACATTGTTGTTTTCATAAAAATCTTTATCTGGGACAAATGGAGGTGTCAGTCTATCCATGAATTCCTCGATCCAAGCAGAGGAATCTTTTGAAGGTGGCGGGTTATCCGAAAATGACCCTCTAAATTTTTTTATTTTTTTCCACATTAATGATAGTGGTGCTTGTGGAGATATGCTTTCGCAAAATGATGTCCACCCTTTACGTTTTTTACTTCTGAGAATTTTTTTGGAACAAGCTTTAACTCTTTGGAAGTTTAGGTAGTTGTCAAGGCTTAAATCATTAAGATATGTCTGCTCTGCTTCGTTGCGTTGTCTAATAGCCTGAGTACAATCAGACTCCCACCAAGGTGGAGAGGATCTGGATGTTTTTTTTTCAGAGGGATTGATAATTCTGCAGCGGAGAGCAAGGAAGAAACAAATTCATTGTAAAGGTGATCAAAATTTGAACTATCTAGCGGAGGCAATCTTTCTAAATTTGATTCCAGTATATCGCGGAATCGGGGCCAATCTGCTTTTTCAAGTTTAAATTTACATAGAGGAGGGTAGGGATCAGAAGATATTTGGACCTGATCAGTGAAGGAAATGAGGATTGGAAGGTGGTCACTTCTATGAGAGCACGCTAAGACGCGCCAGATAGCACTTGTTGAGAGGGAAGGGGATACAAGGGAAACGTCGACGGCGCTAGGGTTTTGGAGAGGAGAGGTGCGGTGAGTAGGGGAGCCATCATTTAGAAGGCAAAGATTGACGTTATCCATTAAGGCTAGGAATTGGGAAGACAGTGAGTCGCATAAAGAGGATCCCCATATGGTATGATGGATGTTAAAGTCTCCTAGAAGTATAGTAGGGCCCGGGAAAGAGGAGAGGATATTCTCTAAGGAGTCTAGAATACTAGAAGAGGGGTGAGGGATATACACAGAAAAAATAATATTAATACCAGTGATGCTTGCACCTGTAATATAGAAGCCGGAGTGTTGAGGTATGGGCTATCCCCATACCTCAACACTCCGGATTGTCTCTATAGACATAGGTGAGAGAGCGGTTTACAAGAAGTGCGCAGCCCTGATAGCCATCAGGACCATCATCTCGCAAGCATGTAAAGCCTGCCAATGAAAACCTACAACTTTTTTTAAGCCATGTTTCTGCAATAGCAAAAACAAATTCAAATTTTTTATTCTGTATATTTCTACTGTTCCACTGGAGAATTTTTAGGTCCATTATTAAGGGTTGTATATAGAAATCGGTACAGTATTTCTGAGCCATTGTATGGTAGGATATCGTTAAAGCGGGTTAAACAGTTGAGAAGGAGTTTCATTAATAGATCGGCAAAGTTGTCGTTGGCAGGCTCTTTATAGTCTAGTGATATTTCTATGGACTTCAGTATCATAGCCATTACCCATAGTTGGTTTCGGAGAGCGTGGAATGTGTAAAGTTTTTTTGTATGATGATACAGATGGGCGGTTAGGGGACGTTATAGTTTGTGATAGGCGTGGATCAAAATGCTTCTGGGAAGGGGACATTGGGGAGGAGGTCATAGAGTGAGGTGAGGCTGATCTTAATGTATCAGCAAAGGTACGACGAATAGGGCGGAATCGGAGGGACGCTTCGGGATATGGGATTTTTTCTTCTGCTATGACTAACTTAATTGATTTTTGCCTACTGTGCTCTGGGCA